TTTGATAACTTCAGAATTAAAGAGTTGGCTCAAACTGAATTTATAAGTTGGAATTTAAACTGAATTAACCACACCCCACAGGAAGTTGAAATGGACTATAAATTGAATGACAGGAAGAGGAATTTACTGAATTACAATTGAATGAAGTCTTTCAGTCTGATAAGTTATTTTATTAAATATGATGAAATTTATATTAAATACACACTCCTGCATGGCACACGAAACTTACAACTTTTTTTTTTTAATTTCCCCAAAAACTTTCAAATCATGCTTTCTTCAGCCAACATGTTTCTAAAAACGAACTTTTGACAAACTTTGCTTCATGCTTTCTTCAGCCAACATGTTTCTAAAAACAAACTTTTGACAAACTTTGCTTTTAGTCAAAAATAACAGTTAAATAAAGTTCATTTTAAGTCTGCTTCATTACATTCAAATTTGAATTCCAGTTCTGCATCTGTTTGGTATCTCAATTCAAACTCAGGAATTGTGTTGTATTTGAAAATGCATTCTCAATTAAATTATGAAAATAACCGTGCTATTGAAAACTTGATCATCATTAAATATAATTTATATGAGCAAAGCTGCCACATTTCGTAATTAATCGAGACAGAATAGAACCCAAACCCCAAAGTGTAGCTATAAATAGCTTAAAGGGGTGCTATTATGCTTTTTCACTTTTTCAACTTTAGTTAGTCTGTAATGTTGTTGTTTGAGATCTGCAAAGTTAAGCCCAATTTATACTTCTGCGTGGAACCTACGCCGTAGCCTGACGTGCACCTCTCCAAAAATCTAACAGCACGTCAATTCTACACGGACCGCAAGCGTTGTGATTGGTCTGCTAGAATCCCTCTCGGACACTGCAGACTAGCGGTTTGCATGTGTACTGCACGTTGACACAGTCAAAGATACAGAAGTATAAATGAAAACTGACACATAGCCTACGGCATAAAGGCTACGGCGTAGGTCCGACGCAGAAGTATAAATCAGCATAAAACAAATGAGAAAAAGCCTTTACGGGGCATATGCATGGCCAGCCATGGCGACCTTAAGGCTAAGTAGTAGTATTTACTGTGGCACCATGAGACGGCTGGTTAAAGAGAAGGACGAAGCAGCTGAAGGATACACAGGTGAGTTTAACTAGATATGGAGCCCTTAATATAAGTATGGTCTCATTTCAGAGAGCTTGTCCATTGAAAGTCTGACAATCGAATTTGATTCTGTTTTTTAATGCACATTGCTGGTCTTTATGTGAACGATAAATTTTTTATCAAAATGACTTGCTATTCTTGTGATATGACTCATACAACATTCACTTTTCATAATCATCCAATCAACAACTAATAGATCAAATTCCACCCTACATGTTTTCTTGTTCAATATGCCATTTCACTCAGAAATGTCACAAAATTAAAGTCAGTGACAACTTGCATTTCAGAAGATTCCAAAGTTGTCCGACAGTGTAAAACTGAATTCCTGTAACACTTTCACAGTCTTAAACCCAGATAGGTTAATTCATATTTTCACTTACCTTCAATTTCATTCATGTAGTTCAGAATTTCAGATATTCTTGCTTGGCTTCAAAGTTGAAGAGTTGTTTCCAGAAGATTTGATTGGTCGCAGCTGAATGGAGGTCCTGAATTTGTTTGAAACAAAGTGACCTTAGATTTTATGACTTCAAAATCATCTTATAAAGCTGAAACACTTAATAGTAACAACACTGAAAGATCCATTTTAATGCATCTAAGGCTAATTATGTTACAGTGACTGTTCGAAGTTGCATGAAATTAGCAATTAAGCTATTCATAACATAGCAAGATAATAAGTGAAGCATGAATAATAAGATAGCAATCCCTGTACTGTTAAGCAGGGCTATTTTTACCAAACATCTGCTAACGTTAGCAGCGAGGCTGTATAAAACAGTTCAGTTTATCTACTGAGGCAGAATACGGTCAGATAGTGGGCACAGGAATAAGTTATTTTGTGTCTGCATGCCAAGGGTGCATTAGAAACAAATAAAGAGGTGCTCCGTGTGCATTAGACAAACATTGGGCTAACATTGGTAACCCTTGGGCTTTCAAATAGCTCCCTCTAGTGGAACAACGAGCACTGGTTTCTTGCACACTTGCAACATTAAAAGCACTGCAAGCACTTGTCAGAAACATTCTCATTTTTATTTTTAAACTATTAAATCCATTAATAAACTTTCTGTTGCCATTCATTGATGCTTTATTTTCCTTTGCTTGTCTTTGCAACTACTGTGAAACTGTTAAAAGCACACAAACCTACATAGGCCTAAATAACTGACACTCCAAAGTTATTAAATACAATACAAAGTTGTTGCTTAACGTCTTATCATGATTAATAAGTAACAAAAAACAAATGTCTGTTTAGTGTACAGTACGAGTCCAAGCTGTATTCTCATCCTCAAATGTGTGTCAGGAGTTAAAGATTACTACATTAATTAAATATTATCAGCAGTGTAAAGCCGTATTTTTAGTTTCATTCACACTATAAAATCATTCATGGGACTGTGGTACTGAAAGCCAATAGAAAATGCACCAAAAATGAGCAAATTAAAACAAAGTGACACAAAAACAGCATTATAATTGGTTCCTCGATGCATTTTCTTTGACACAAGACTGCAAAAGGCATGAAAATTAAAATGAAATTGTTTCAAATTAAGTGAATGCCATCCATTAGAGAAAAAGAGCTGTGGTGAGCACCCGGTAAGCCATAGAAAAAGTTATGAACAGCCCCACACCAAAGGCCAGAGCTCTGGTAGGCTGGGGCAGAGCCATCATATAGACCACCGTGTGGATGAAACGTGACCCCACAAACACCCGGAAGTGCAACAGAGCCATGGAGAGATCAGGCCCCGTGAGTGCATACAGAAGACCAATCACCACAAAGGGAACAATGTTTTCCAGGTCATTCAGATGGCACCTGTGATTCAAGAGTAATGGCATTAGAAAGAGACAACAACAGTAGCACCTTCATCGCTCACCCAGTGATCTTGTCATAAAACCATTTATATGTTTACCGTCGCACTCTTTCCACATCCGGATCCACCCTGACCAGCTTCTTCCTGTCTTCTGTGGTCTTCACTAAGGCGGTGTCCTCCAAGTTTGAAAAAACCTAAAAGAGGAGCCATTAAATCTGGGAAAAATAAGTGCTTGACAGCCCACTGAACAACTATATAATGCAGGTTGCATAAGCAGTAAATTGAGTGCAATAAGTAGCGTACCTGTTTTGTCAAGCGAAAGTATGAGGTCATGAGGCTCATGAGCATCATTTTGAGGACGACTATGGTTGCATATGTGGAGAAGGCCAGGAAAACCTCGCTGTCAATCATGTGCACAACTTCTGCCATCTTTATTCAAATTGCAGTGAGTACAAGTGGGAAACAACAAAAGGCACACATAAATAGGTAAATACATCAAAAGTCTAAACACAGTATTTGTCATTCTTTCGTTATATTTTGATATAGAAAATCTTACAAAAGCAACATTACTGGTTAATATGATAGAACATGTCTTATATTACCCCTCCTATTGCCAAACCAAATAAATTTGTCCAATTTATACCAGCTTGGACTAGTTAAAAACCATGTTCCAAAACAGCTGCCAGTTTAAACTGGATTTTCCAGCATCTTCTCGGTATCACAGCCAAGCACCAAATTAAAAACGATGTGGTATTTACAGAATTGTCTTCACCGAAAATGGATAAAAAATACCACAAAGACAGTTATACGTAAGCAAATATTTCTACAAAACCGGCGTATAGCAGTTTGTCCTTTTAAAGTTGGATTTAGAACAGCTAAGGTACATAAACAGAGCAAATTATCTAATTTAATACTGTTAATGTAGCACAATATAAAGGATTTTATATTTTGGATGTTTAATATTGTTACATCAAAAATAGTTTGCGCAAACATGTGTCGATTTCTTTGTTTATGAGTATACTGGAAACAATAGAGCGAACTTAGGACGCCGAAGGCGGTCTCTTTGGAATGTCAAAAATGTATGCCAATGCACTTTATATAGCCTTAATATTGACAAGAAACAAACAAACGTACAAGAGCAAGAAGTTAAAGTGAAGTCTAAGTTGAAATATTAGCGTTTTGATGCGTTACTCACCTTTTTGACGCCACTCGGTTTCACAGCGTTTCACTTCTGAACTAACGTGAGATGGTGGTCGTGTCGAACGGCCATAAACTGTTATACTAATGCAACTTTTTTTTTTTTTGTACAATTTGTTTACATTTATACCAAGAGTTCCTCGGGCACGTTGCTGTAGTTCCAACAGTAGCGCATATTACCAGCAACGCCAAGGTTATGAGTTCGATTCTCAAGAAATGCATGAACTTATTACATATCAATGGTGAGTGCAGTCGCCAATCTTGTCTAAAATGAGATTAACGTAATGTAAATGCTAGTTATCACATTTTATTATTATTTATCAGGGTGACTTAGTTAACTCTTTAAGCACAAATCTTAAAGCTATTTTTAAAAATGCGTCCCAGGAAAAAAAATACAGTTGACTGACACGTACTCTTTTGTAACAACATGCAACAGTATTGGTGTATCTTGTCACACTACATGGGTAAGTTGTGCCATGTTATAGTCTATTTAACAGACTTTTAAACCGTTTTAAAATGGTAAATGTAAACAATTAAACCAATATGAAACACACACACACACAAAACGTCAAAAATGTTGCATGCTGCACTGTTTTGCACGTCATAAATAAACTTTGACTTGATTTTGTAATATCTCCAAACTGTTCTTTGCACCCTCAAGCAGATGAGATAAGACTGCAATAGATATGTTAAAACCTCAAATAAAAAGGTCCCGTTTAAACAATGGAGAAAAGCAGGCTTGAGCACTTGGAATGCATCCTAAAAAAGCCTGATAAGCAACCCTCTTTTTAATGCTGAGTCACTGTGACAACGACTTGTTGACTGTTAACTGGTAACTGAAAATTCATCAAAAATACAGATGACATGTTGACAGATTTTATTAGGAATTGCATACAGTTTAATGAGAAAATATAACACCAGGGATGATAAAATGATATAAAACAGGCCTCTTCTGTTCTGCAGATCTATGGTGTCTTTAGAGAAGGAGTGCTGTGGTGAGCACCCTGTAGGCCATTGAGAAAGTTGTGATCATTCCCACCACCCAGGACAGACCTCTGCTAGGCTGGGGCAAAGCCAAAACGTACGATACAGTGTGGATGAAACGTGAGCCCACAAACACTCGGAAGTGCAGCAGAGCTGTGGAGAGGTCTGGCCCCGTGAATGCATACAGAAGACCAATCACTACAAAGGGAATGATGTTCTCTATGTCATTTTGATGGCACCTGTAATTCAAAATTGCAAGAATCACAGAGAATATTCACACTTAACAGGTTAAACGAGGATAGACAAGAACTTTGCTAATACCTTCGGACACGTTCTACATCAGGATTGGTCTGAAGCATCTTCTTTCGCTCCTCTGGTTCTTTTTTGCCCATCGCAGTGTCCTCCCAGTTCGAAAAGGCCTGCATGATGAACAGAAAGACATTAAATATAATACTGAGAAGCAATAATATAAAACCTTGATATCTATTCATTTATTTTTTAGCAATCATGATCCTTGTTGCGATAAAACACATTATTATGTATCCTGAATAGTGAAACATAATTGATACAATATAAATCAAATTTTAGTCTTTAAATTTTGGTAAATAACATGACAAAGTGCCAGTTTTGAACGTGAAAATCCAATAAATGTAATCAATAGGGGAAAATGGATGTTTACTATTATTATACAGGCCAAAAAGACAAATCTGCCCAGTACTGCAGTAAATTTTACCAGATGCCCCTAATCTGATTGGAGGGGTGCCATTTTCAACAGGACTACTGACAAAAATAGCTCTACATTATGTGCATACTGTATATTCTTGCCTTTATTTTAATGGTCAGGTTAATTTCAATATTATGCACTTTTCTTTATTGACGTTTATATAAAACTGAATTTTCTAAACCAATGGCACCTTTCTGGTTATCCTGAAGTATGCAGTCAGAGGAGCCATGAACATCATTTTGAGGATGACAATGGTGGCATATGTGGAGAAGGCCAGGAACACGTCATTGTTTGTCAGATTAGCCATCTTGGTCAATTTCCTACCATGGACAACACAGAACATTACAGAATAAAAGCAAAGTAAGGCAATAATAACATTAGTAAGACATCTTAACATATCCAAACACACTTATTATTTTCAGGTAGGAAAAGATTCTCTTTTATTCACTGTAGCCTAATAAAAGTTTCTACTTTGAAATCTTGACCAAAACTATCAAGAACCAGGGAACTCAGAATTTATGTGAAACTGTTCTTTGGAACAGCTTCATAAAACAATTAAACTGTTCCTTTAGGCTACACCATCACGTATTCACGTTTTGTTTTACAGTTAATTGAAACCAATTCGTTTGTATGTTGATAAATGTCATACAGTCAAGATTTGAATAACTTGTTCATCAGACTCGGTACAATTCGTCGTTTTGTGAACCGGTTCAACCAATTCGTTAAAAAAGATCCGACTCAAAAGAACGATTCGTTCACGAAGAGGACGTCGCTATTATTGAACAAACAGTTGTAAGCTTGAAGAAATACCACTGTACTTATCAAGGATCATATTTTCACACCTTATCGAATAAAATCATTACCGACGCACTATTTCAAAGTTATTTTAAAAACACTGAGCAGTTTACACTGAACCTGTTTACACCACAAGTGAGCGTAACTTTTGACCAAATGTGTACATTATTTAAATTTGGAGCTTGTTACACCCTTTCCAGTTAAAATGCAGCGATATACTGTAACAACATTATGGCAACATGGGAAATTGCTTCGCTTACCTGGTTGACGACTCTTGCGAATAACAAGTGCTTGTCAATGCCTTGAAATCTGAAATAGTTGAGTTTAGTTATTGCGTAAATTCACGTAGGACAGCCTACTTAGTTATTGCAAGTTCACGTAGGACAGCCTACTTGGACCAGAGCCAGCCCATTGCTCCTTTCTAGCCTGACTGCTTTGTTGTAGTAGTGTCATCAGGCTAATACTTTGGAGTCTTGAGGATAATTTATTAATCCGAGCTTATTTTGATCTGTACAGTAAGGTCTTCCAGCCAAATCAAACAATAAACTGCTGATTCTTTTTACAGTACATAACACTGCTGGCAAGTACAAGCTTGCATTTTATGGTGACTTCCTAAGACTGTTTGTCACATTATGTAAGGAAGGGGGGTTGCCAAATATTTTGTCTTCAACCCACAGTTTATCTGGAATATCATCTCATCTGCTTTTTACCCAGGTGTGATTCTGTGAACAGTCACTGTAACACTATAAGAACGTTTTATCCCCCATGTAATCAAAATATACTTTTCTGACCACTTTTATACAGATCAACTGTATGGGAGCCTGTTTCGGCCACATGATTTAAAAAATAAATAAATAAAAATGTCTACTTTTCATCTCACAGTTCTGACATTTTTCTTGCAATTCTGAGAAACTGAAAAAAGAAAAATGTCAGAATTGTGAGTTATAAAATTGCAATTGCAAGAAAAAAAAAACTGTGAGATAAACACTCACGAATACCCTTTTATTTTAATTTTTTTTTTATTTGTGGCAGAAACAAACAAAAAAAGTGAGACGTAAACTCAGAATTCATACAAAAAAGAAAGAATTCCGAAATATAAACTCAGAATTCTCAGAAAGTCAGAATTACGAGGAAATAGTGAGCATTGTGAGATAACAAGTTGCAATTACTTTTTTAAAATGTTTTATTCTGTGGCTTCCATTTTACTGAGATGGATCTTAATACTTAATACTAGACGTAAACAAAAAGTCTGAGGGAAGTTTTGTTTCAATTTAAAAATTAAACTTTTCAAGCTTTGAAGTTATGATTTGTATCACACAATACATCTAAACTTAAGTACTGTCATAACTCAGCACTTTATTATTGATTTACTTAGCACAAGTATATCACAAAACGCTTCTAGAAATTAATTTAAAGTGCTGTTGTGAAACTAGCAATGGCAAAGTTATAGGTTCCGACCCAGTCTCATGAGATGCTATAGGATTTTTTATGAGAAAAAGAAACTTTAAAAAATAACATATAAAATAAGTCGTATGACTGAAGTCACGATTTTGACAATACAAATTATTACCAGTTTTCATGAGAGTGGTTTTTGAAGTTGCTTAGGATAAAAAGCCTGTCAACTGAACAAATCTACATTTTGTGTTCTTCAGCTTCTATATAAATGTGCCTCATTTTTTTACCTCAGATGTTTTCAGTGTTATGCTGAACGCCGCATGGTGCATTCCCACTTAACTAATGGTATCTTGTAGCCACGTGTTTAAGATATCTGCTTCTTTAGGCCTTATTCTATTGACTGCACACATAAGGCATCATGCCATGTAATTGTAGGCACTAAAGAGATCTAGTCATTCTCCGCTCCTGTCATCTTCTCCATAGAGTATCTCGAAGCGAGAAGTTAGTCTTGTCTCAAGCTGAGTGAAGAGCAAGACATCTTCTCCCTCCTTACAATTACACCACTGTCACGCTAAACAGCTGCACGTCATGTTGCCATTGTGCTTGTGTTTTTGTAAGGCATTGCAGGTGCGAGCAACATCCTTATCTCTGCTGGAACATATTCTGGTCTTTACATATGCATGAGCTGCACGAGAAAGTGTGGCACGGAGAGCTAGTTGATAAAGAATGTGGACTGATGAGATATTCTCCTACTGACACGCTGCCGTTTGCTGGCTTCTCCTAGTAATATGTTTTACCTCGTGTTTACCATTCCAGGGAGAAATGTAGGGCTGTGCTACTTTACCAGAGAAGCACATGAGAGATGTCAATCAACGTGGGACAAGGGATTTAAAGATGTTGTGTTGCAGTCAGAGATTTAAGAGTGTGGTCTGTGTCAGGTGTCAACATCCTCACCATCAGAATAGTAATGCTGCAAGACACATATCATTAGTGTTGGATTTGCACCTCAACTGAAGAATGCTAATGCTTTTCCTTTAGACTTAATAGTAGTTTCACATTTATTAAAAAAAAAAAAAAAAGACTTTGAAAACTGGACGGCTGCCTAGTGTATGCACAACTTCTTGGCTCTTCAACACTTTTGCATTTATGAATTTCAATTATATTAAATATTTCTATCAGGTTGAACTGGGTAATCTTTAAGTGGTGTACATATTATGAATTCAGAATAAATACAAAGTATTTCATTACAAACAACAAAGTATGAACGTTTAAATACAGTTGGCAAAAAATGGCAAAGCAACTTTCATTTGCATGAATTGAACACATTTTTATACATAGCAAAGTTAAGTATAAACACACTACTGTTCAAAAGTTTAGGTCAGTAAGATCTTTTTTATTAATTTTGTTTAATTAATACTTTTATTCAGCAAGGATGCATTAAATGAATCAAAAGTGATAGTAAATAACATTTATAACATTCTATTCATAAAAAGAAAAAAAACTGGAAAAAAGAATGCATGATGGTTTCCACAAAAAAATATTAAGCAGTCGTTTTCAACATTGATAATAATAAGAAATGTTTATTGAGAATAGAATCAACATATTAGAATGATTTATGAAGGATCATGTGACACTAATTTTTCAGCAGCCATTACTCCAATCTTTAGTTATTTTAAACTTTAATAATATTTCACAATATTCCTGTTTTAC